TCAAACTCTAAACAATAAGTATAGGTAAAATTTAATGAAAAAATATCTGCAAGGGTATACAAACTTCGGCGTGCCGAAGTTAGCTTCCTTTCTTGTTTTTTTTTAATTTTTACATTTTTTTTTATTTTTGGTTCATTATGACAACTTATTACTAAATATAAGCTTATATTTGGGAAATTTCTAATAAACTAAGCATTTCTGAACTATAATCATTTTATTATATTTCTTTTCGAGACTTTACATGCCGCGGAGCTCGAATAAACTTCAGATGATACAGCCAACTTGTTGAATAGGTCCTCATTCACAGTTGCAGTATGTTTACTTTTTGGTATTTTCGGGTATATTTTACCCTGAGTTGTTTCGGTTTTTTGCTTCGCATTATCGGAGTCGCAGCTAGATGTAGCCGATGAAAGCGGATTCTGATTCAGGAAAGGTACAAGCAGTGCGTAGTCATAGTATAGTTGCCGGTTCTGCCTAGCTTCAAAAGTTAAATATTACTTTAGCCAGGAAAAGGTGAAAATAATGGACACCTGGCCGGTAGCGATTTACCTGCACAAGCCCACACAAAACTACCCTTTCTTTAAATTTTAATAAGAGTTAATAAATCCACCAGTTATTCAAAAAAAATATTTTGACCATTAACTATTTAGTTTTTGTATAAGCCTGAAAGCCGACTAATTTACCTATTTTTTTGTTGTATGACGCATACACCGAAAACAATTTCAACTTTGAATTCTCACATTTTCCACAAAAAAAATCCGAAACATTTTTTGATTACAGATTCTGAATCCATGGTAAATTCTGTATGAAATTTGTATTGTTAAAAACGATTTTGCCATTATTTTCTATTTTTGTAACGGTTTTTGTTTTGTTGTGCGTCGTTGAGTCTAAGAGATTGAAGGCCTCTTCAATGCCCCAGTGCTCAGCGTAGATTCATATATATAGGCCAGAGTAGGGGCAATAAAACTGCGCCCTGAGGTATACCTCTTTTTACTGTCCACATGAGGTGAGTGCCACTTAGTTCCGCTGTGATCGTTTTGCTCGTTAGCATAACCCCGATCCTCTGTTTGATGCCTCCCCAATGCCCACCTACTTGAGAGAGCTTAGGATGGAATCGGTGTTCACCTCCGATGTCTAGGAAGGTAAAAATTCACCTACCCGTGCGTCTCGGATGAGTCTGTGCATCCAACAAAGAGCAGTGCCGTCCTGTCGAAGATCTCCTTCCTCTTCCGGATAATTGCCCTGCGATGACCAATGCCACGTCTTCCGAGATAGTCCGGAACGAGTAACTGATCCTGATGGCGCACAGTCTGTAGGTCGCCTCCACTCCTCGGATGTAGCTTTTGACAGCTGCAGCTTTAGGCCAATCTGGTACCGAATACAGGATTTCGACGGTCACCACTGATGATAGGAGTTTCCTCGTATACTGCTTCGGCCCTCTCGTGTTTGGCAACATCCTGGAAAGTGCTCCTGTCGTCCCGCTGGCCTTCTTGTGCTCCTTTAAGGATAGACGAGTGTCGATGAGGACGCCCAGATATTTTATCGCTCTCTGCGACCGGATCCTTTTTCCGGGGAGAGCCCACCAACGGCTTTGATAGCTCCGCTTAGCCGGGCTGAGATCACCCCCTCGAAGACCTTACCAACCGTGTCCAGCAGACATATTGGCCTGTAGGACGACTCCTCTCCTGGTGACGTTAAAGAAGGTCCGTTCCAAACAAGAACAGTTCCTGAATTCATGAAGTCTTGGTCAGGTCCATTCGAGGCGAATGAACAGTCAGGAGGGCCGAATGTAGGATTTGAAACAGGCGGGTTTCCTTCGCAGCACACTCAAAGCAGAACGCTAGATCGATATTAAAATTATACTCAATATTTAGAATGTGGAGACTTAAGAAAAGAGAAGTAATGTTTTGTAATCACTAGAGATTCGAGAGGAAAGAAGAAATTGTGAAAAAAGGGCTCATGAAAACTAACAGAAAAAACTTTTTAAAACTAAACTATAAGCAGTTATGTTTAAACCAAATATTTGAATAAAACATTGTATCGAATATTATTGAATAGCGCCCAAACAAGAACACGTCTTCATTTGTTGAGTTAATATTTCAAACTGAACTTTATTTATTCAAATCCTAGCTTAAATAGCTAACATGAGAATGTACATTTGATCTTAGTTCTAGACCCACGCATCAGACAGTTTCCGATCGTGGGAAATATTCTAAGTGCGATAAGGGTGCACACAGTCACCCCGATAGCACATATCTTAAACAAACCCAGACCGCTCGCAGGAGGTCATATTTCGGGTTGCTTGTATTACACAGGCCCAAGTGGCGGTTTTACTTAAAGATAGACAAGTACAGTGCACTGCTGCAGAGATTTAATGCCTAACAAATGCATCTTATCTATTTACATCAGTCATGCCCAGCCCATAGCTCTTGCCGCTCGCATTGTTTTTGTAATTGCTCTTAGGCATAGGCAAAGCAATCGTCGTATACATGCACGACTCACTCCATAAGCAAAGCAGATTACAGTAACAATTTTGCGAATTCTCTTCATTCTCCGCGTCTTCGTTGATCTCGGTAACAACACTTTCATAGTTTTCACCGTTATCTCGCTTGTCCGAATGTAAATTGTTGTTGGATCGTCGAAAAATGTACATCGCGAAAAATCAGTTGTATTTTGCGTGGCAGGCAAGATGTTTGATATTGCAGAAACTAATTTCTTTTTTTGTGAAAATTGCTTTGATGAGCCCCAATCCATTGTTTACTTTAACGAATTAGTAAATAAAAGGAAGTTTAATTTTCAAAGGCAAAACAAAAGCCGATAAACAAAAAATTAGGGTGTACAAATTTAAATATGCTTTTCCTAGGAACATTTATTCTTTCAAAATATTTATTCTTTCAAAATAAATGTTCCTGACGAATTTTTTGACATACTATGCTCTGCTCCAAAGTTTTTTCAGCTGTGTTCACTGTATACCGGCTAGATCGGCCTATCAGACGTGGGAAAACCTCCTTATAGCGGTCGACTCCACTCTCACGTCCGAATTAATAATTTTCCAGGAGAGCAACGATGTTGAATTCCTTTGCGTGAAGCTTGGTGATTTTAACATCCCAGGGGCTATGTGATCCCTAGATAAATCCACTAATACACTTCTTAACACAACCCATCATGATTTTATTGCTGGCCTGTTTGACATTTCGCTGTCCCAAGTCAACCATGTACGAAATTCTTGAGAGCACTTGCTTGATCTTTCTTTTGTATGTATATATGAATGTGTTCTGTTATACTATCCGTCAACAACAAAAAAGCCTCCTTGGCTTACCAAAGAGTTGACCCGCCTCAAAAATAAAAAATCTAATCTGTATGCTAAACATAAACGCGCCGATTCTCTAACTGTCCTATCTAGTTATTCATCGGCTCGGTCAACTTTTACCGTGCATAACGCGCAGTGTTACAATAATTATTTGACTCGTTGCAGAGCCCAGTTTTTGAGGACCCAAAACAGTTTTATAATTTTGTTAAAACAAAGCGTAAACCCATACCCATTACTAATCCTTCCTCGTTTTTTTTTTGAAAATACAACAGCAGATAATGATCAGGCAATAGCCGATCTACTTGCTCAGTTTTTTCAAACCACTTACTCCAACTTAATAAACTCAAATCAGACTTATTCTTACATCATCCCCAAATCGAACCAAATTCTCAGTCCTACCTTAAACAAAAACTCCCTTCCTTTAGATCTTCATCGTGTTAAGCCAGTTTTTTTGCCAGGTCCCGACGGAATACCTGTCTATATGCTTATGTATTGTGCCGAAGCCCTGTGTAATCCCCTTCTCAAATTGTTTACTTTATCCTTAGAGACCTCCCACTTTTCCCTTATTTGGAAGGAATCATTCGTTATTCCTCTCCACAAAAAAGGTATCAAATTGGAGGCCAACAACTACAGAGGAATCTCTAAGTTGTCGGCCATCCCAAAATTGATTGTTCGAAAATGTCATTACTCCCTATTTGCAGCTCCTGTGTAGGTCAATTACTTCTCCATGTTAACATGGTTTTATTAAGCGAAGATCAATTACAACCAATCTTTTTTAGGTAGGCATTACATTCTTATATAACTTAATCCGTGGTGACGTAGAAAGTGCCGGCTTGCTGGGTCAGCTTAACTTAAAAAAACTTTGATCTTAATCCACTTAGTACGAATGCAAGCAACCAATTCGACAGCACGCCAGTAGTAGTAGTGCATCAACGTCTTGCAAAAAAGGCGCTTAATTACAGGAGGCAGTGTGATTCCGTACGTGAATTGCAGGAACCCTTAAGAGTCCTTTGTCGAATTACAATGATTAGTAGCATGTAACGTAAATAGCCTTCCTAAACTTACTAACCCAACTCGCACGCCCGTAGGTATTTCCTCGCATTCTTTTCTTATATTTCCTATGCGGCTACTAGCACTTAAAGCACTAATACGAACAAGCACGTGCTGACACCAAGCATAAAGCATAGTTTTTTTTTCGTTTCATTTATTAAGGCATACGGGGAGTGCTGTTTACCCCTTTGTGTCCTTGGTATCTATTCATTCAGCCCAATCGGGCGCGCCGGCTAACCTTGTCGGTTATGGCCATATGATACACTAATGCAGTTTTCATTAATTAGCTACTTCATTAGAACGTTGAAAGAGACCACTATATGTGTAATTTGGCTTGGATTTTGCTTGGATTATTTTGGTAATACGACTACGGTCACACCGACCGTAAAAGGTAAACAAAAAAAAAAACGGCCGCCATTCGCGGCGTATTTACTATGAATTTCAGAATTCCTCGTCGAATTATTCTTGCATAAATAAATGCAGAATCCTTTAAATTTATGTTTTTAACCTATAATACTTAATTTTTTTTTAATTATTACCAAACAAATTTTTAATTAATTTTACAGCGCAAGAACCTTGCCACCGCAAAACATATTATTTTTCCTAATTTTCTAGTATTTTTGTTGCATTTCAAGTCGGAATGGACTGGAGGGCTATCGATATATCGATAGAGGTAGGATCGGTTGGACCAGGGGGAGACAGCGACTGGTGAGCGAACCGGGAAAATCAAAGTTAAGAAAAAGGGTTTTTACCCTTTTCACTGAGCGCTTCAAGATTACGGTAAGCCGAAAATTGGAACTCGGGCAACGGAGCCTATATAGGGAGGCAGGAGACTGGAAGAGGGAGAGATTAGCGGGACGTCAGCCGGCGCGTTAGCAATGGGACTCTAGTGATTAGAGGGAAAAGTGGCGCGAAGGAAAATAACCCATAGTGATTGTTAAAAAAATATGTTTTTTTTTCTTACAGCGTGGCCGTGACGAATAACATGGGCCACGGGGGTTTTTTTTTTTTGTTCTTTTGTGTTGGTGCATTCGCCGTCTCCGAGCCGTTCGGTGGATTTTGTCTGGGCGAGCCCCTCATTTCCAGAGACACCTACGCGACATCAGGTCCCAGCACACTTGCGCGCCAGCGGCCGCCAGCACAAGCCACCATCAGGTGAAACCGGAAGCAACCGGCAAACCCAACGGCAACTGGAGGACAGCGGTGAGTCCGCCGTTCCGATCAACATCGGCCAGCCCTAACCTAGGTAGGCTGCTCAGCCCGGCCGAATCCCTTCTGCCACCAAGCCTGGGCTTGGGCCCATGCTTTATTCTCAGCCGCCGGAAATATGCAAGAAAATAAAATTATAATATTTAAGTTATGTGTGATAAGTTACTAGTTTTTGTTGTATTCTGTAACTCACTTGTCGCCGTACCTTTTTCTCCGCGTATTCGTGCCTTGTGTCCGGGATTTGTGCAACACATGTGCTGCGGATTGAAAATTCTTAGGATTAAAAAGAAGAAGGAATTTTAGAGTGACCCACCCTTGTGGTTTCCTTTGGAGCTATAGTAGGGACCCGAGGTAGAAAAGGGGTACGTAGCGTCAATTTGTTGGCCGGTGTGTCGTTGGCCATTTCCCCTTGGCCACTTCTTTTGATCCTTTGGCGGCAGCCTTGGCGCGGGCGCATCTCTGGCTAGGGTCGCGACCACGTTGGGGATTTGGGACGCACGTACTCTGCCATGTAATAAGTAAACCTGAAACGACAATTATAACGTATTAAAAACGCAATGAACACCGAGTAAGCGCTATTACCTGGGGGAGATGAGTCGGTCGCCAGACCGCCTGGAATAGACTCCGGTCCGCCGGAGAATGGGTGATGCCCCAAGATAACCAGGAGGCATCATTGGATGGGTGGGTGCGTCGTGGCGTCCACATCTAAGCCACCAATTCGTCCAAATTGTCGTCCGAATCTTTGTTTACCTTTTTAATGTAGTGGTGTGAGTTTTGTCAGCGATAGTTGTTAGTCGAGACGTCCGATATTTTGTCGGTATTTGATTGTGCGTACTGCGGGCATCGGGTCGAACCCGCTCTGGGCCACTCTGAGCTAGCCCTGGCATAAAGCAGTTTCGTTACATTTTTTCAGTTCAAAAACCAGCGAAATGATATAAAAATAAAATTCTCATTGTGAGACCACTTTGAGCTTTGCGCTCTAATGAACTGGCTAATACACTTTTCAATTACAATTTTCTTCATTAAACCCGTATTTTGTTATCGAGTATACAGTATATTTTATGTAGATCTATCGATTATCGCGGCAATGAAGTAGCTAATGCATTAGAGCGCCATATAGTCTTGCTCGCACTTGTGTAAAACGCTATAGCGCTGTCAAATCTTTAATTAAGTATCTAATTAATGCGCCAGTGTCATACGGCTATTATAAGCGAGCTTACATTATTTTGAGCCGCGCACGCAGAGAGCTAAAACATAAACTGAATTGTAATGAAAAACGAACAGACAGTATAAAACTCTAAGTCAGACGGTGCGGACGTGTCAGATAAAATATGTTTATTTTGGGGTAAGGTTAAATCGGTGCAAAACGGGCCTTTTTCAAACATTTATTGTGACGGCTAATGTTTGCTAAATTAATTAAAAACCATATAATAACACAATATTTGAACAATTTTTGATAAATTTTGTATTGATAAATATATAGAGGTAGAGGAGTTATACGGAATCTCCCGAGTCGCCTCCAAACAGAGTTGGCTTGCGGTGTACATCCTAACTGTCCACAGAATCATCCGATCTAAAAAAATTATACCTCATTCGTTAAAGAATAAGTGTCCCGAGGTATTTACGAAGCGTTTTTATTTTTAAAATTTTTCCCTGATTTTTTTTATCGAAATTTGTAGTCAAAACCCCGATTTTGGACTAAAAAATTAAGTTAATTTGTTAAATAAAAAATATAATAAATTTAAAAATTTAAAAAAAAAACTCGACGTGAGTACCTGTAGAATTATCTAAAGAACTTATGTTCCAAATTTCAAGCCGATTGGTTCAGTAGATTTTGAGTTATCGTATACACCGATTCTTAAAATGGCATTTTTCAGGAGAGCGTTTTAAACTTTGAGATGCTCATACATTGAACACTAACCGACCTTCATTCAACACCCCATAACTTCGTCAATTTTTCGGTGATCGATGTAAAACTTGGACACAATATGCTTAAGATATTGAGCCTTTAAAATAAAAAATTTAAAAAAAAATTAAATACGATCTGTAAATGTAGTGAAAATGTAAAGCTTCGTATGTAAAACTGTAACTGTCAAACTGTATGTATATAATTAATATAATATGATTTCATCATTTATATTTATAATGTTTATTATATTAAATATTTCAAATCTAAAATATAGTTAGTTTATACGATTAAACATTTAAAACAAACTGCAAGGGTATACAAACTTTGGCGCGCCGAAGTTAGCTTCCTTATTTGTTTTTAGTTTGTATAAATGTGTATATGTTATCTAACTTGTTTACAATTTCACTATTATAACATTTTAACAAACAAAATTAACAGCATTGTGCATATACCATATGGCTGTTTAATGCCAAAATACCATAAACTAGACAAAAATTTCTCAATGAATGATGTAGTGGCTTTTTTAACCCTTTCATGCCCACTGTTGCCTATAGGCAACATTGGCTTTAAATTTAAATTTCGGTTACGATTCAAAATTTTTGTGAACTTTTTTTTTATAGGGGATTCCCCTTATTAATGTTCTTTCATTTTTGGTAATTTTTACGAATGCAGCTGCAGCGTGTGTTCAGTTATCACTAATTATTCGAAGCGACCACAGCTGCCGAAAAATGTTGCCAAAAAGTGTCTGTGAAAAAAGTGCGATTAACTAAAATTAGTGACAAATATTAAAAAAATAAGTACGTACACATCTTTAAAATAGGTAAAACTGTGATAAAAGTAGCCCAACTTTAGGCTTGAAAATTGTTTTATAAAGAGTGTGGATGGACAAATGTTGCCTATAGGCAACATTGCAGTAAGGACATACCAAAGGACTTAGAGTATCGAACATCAAAATGAACGCTAATTGGGGCTCCTATTAATCATTTATGGCGTTAAATATTTTCTATGTGTTCCCAGTTTAATTTGGGCATGAAAGGGTTAAAAACTGGTGATTTATTTGAAAAATATTTATGTATATATGTGAACAAAATGTTGCTGATTTTAGCCAAATTAATTAATTTTTATTTGTAAAGTAGATATCGAGAAATTTAACCGTAATGTTTTATACGTACAAACGTTACGGATCCATTTAATTTATCTAAAACTTGTTAACAATTTGTTTGTTTAATAAAATATTTTCAGTGCCGCTGCAATCAAATGAAGCAAGAGCTGATATCAATAAAATGTGATGCGCAAAACATTATATGCCTACAATCAGAGATTGACGAACTTCACAATGAATTGCTTAAGCGGGACATAGCATTGAATGCGTATGACTGCCAATATGAACAGCTTATGGTAAGTTTTTTTTTACCAATTGTTTGGTTCTGTTAATTTCCTATTTTAAAACGTACTCTATAATAAATAGTAGCGGCACGTTTGGGCTTCGCCCGCACTTGCGACGCATACGCTCTCGCTTTTGAAAGATTTAGATGTTTTTTTCTTTGACATTCTATTGACTTGGGCAGTGTATTAAAACGATTGACGGGACCTTTACTGCTGGCAAAAAAGTTAATAAAAATGCTATTCGGAAATAAAAATTCAAATAAAACATATTATTCGACACTAGCCTTAATCTATTAAATGAGTCTCAAGAAAAAAAGCGCAATTGGTGTGCAGCATCTAGGCGGTAGGCTCTTAACAGCAGCCTTTTTCGCCCCAGCCTATGACCTCAGTACAAATTTCTTATGAATTCTTTTACTGACTATGCTCGGTCCAATTCTTGCCAGAGTATTTTGTTGTCAAAGAGTACGAAGTTAAAAGAAAACAAGAAAGGAAGCTAACTTCGGCACGCCGATGTTTGTATACCCTTGCAGATTGGTTTTGATGTTTATATTATAGATTTAAATGCTGAAAACACTCACAAAACAGAGTTTCATTACATTTTACCTATACTTATTATGTTTACAGTTTGACAGTTACAGTCTTACATTCCCAGCCTTACATTTTCTCTACATCTACGGATCGCTTTATGGCAGCTATATGATATAGTTGTCCGATTTTTATAAAATGTATACCATAATTCTAGCATGATAAAAAAAGCATATATCTCAGAGTAGATAAACATACGTTGAAAAACAACGAAGCTATAATTTTTTTCCTATTAATTTCCTGATCGTTCCTATGGCAGCTATATCATATAGTCGTCCGATTTTCATAAAATTTTTAACAAAATTCTGAAATAATATAAAATGGTCATATCTAAAAAATGGTGCAAAAATGTTGAAAAACAGCAAAGTTATAATATTTTTTTTCTACAAATATATCGAAAATTTGTATGGCAGCTATATGATATAGTCGTCCGATCCGGCCCGTTCCGACATATATAGCAGTGAGAGCATATAGAAGACTATATGCAAAGTTTCATTCAGATAGCTTTAAAACTGAGGGACTAGTTTGCGTAGAAACAGACAGACAGATGGACAGACGGACAGACGGACAGACGGACATGGCTAGATCGACTCGGCTGTTGATGCTGATCAAGAATATATATACTTTATAGGGTCGGAAACGTCTCCTTCACTGCGTTGCAAACTTCTGACTGAAATTATAATACCCTGCAAGGGTATAAAAAAGGCGGCCTGTGGGAATTTGTCTTCCCAGGCCTGATCAGACCACTGCGCCCTCTTCCTACTCTACCTCTATTCTGATAGTCTTGGATAGAAACCGGGTTAAAGCCGGAGATTCTAAGCAACGAAGTTTTTCTCCTGCGTTCAGAGGGTATCGGCTAAATCGGTCTATCAGAGCTATAAATTAATTTTCTACTAAATGTGTTCCGCTATACTATCCGTCAACATCTAATAAGTCTCCTTGGTTTACTAAAGAGTTGAGTCGCCTCAAAATCAAGAAATCTAATTTGTATGCTAAATCTAAACGTACCGGTTCTTAAACAGTCCTATTTATCGGCTCGGTCTACTTTTAACGTGCAGAATGCGCAGTATTACAATAATTATTTGACTCGTTTAGGGCCCCGTTTTCTGAGGACCGAAAACAGTTTTATAATTTTGTTAAAACAAAGCGTAAACCGATTACTTATCCTTCCTCGCTCTCTTTTGAAAATACAACAGCAGATAATGATCAGGCACTTACTCCAACTTAATAGACTCAAATCAGTCCCCACTGGGGCATTTGACTGATTTTTTGGAATAAATTAATATCTCGCGAACTATGTAACATATTTCAATGAGGTTTTTTTTATAGTGTTCTACATACCCTTATACACATGTTGGAAAAGTAAAAATACCCCCCCCCACAAAAAAAAAAAAAAAAATTTTTGTTTTCTTTTTATATAGCAAATTTTTCTATATATATTTTTTATTTTCAATTTCAATATTGTAGAATATAATAGGAAACATATCTGCCTTCCTGCTCTTTGCGTCCTCTCAAATTGCAGATTACTGCTCTTTGGTGAAGCCTTGATCAAGCTTTAAAGCCAAAGTCTCCTCTGTCGAAGAACGTACAGGCTGCTCAACGGGCTTACATTTGAACATTTTGGTTTGTGCTGGATTTAAGCTATTAACTTTAATATAACAGGCAGATATGTTTTTTTAATTTCTATGCCTGCTGCTTAAATCAGATAACCGCTGAGATATAGTTAGCTTCATCAATTTTCCCTCTTGAACATTTTAACCAAAATGATATTTTTAGATGTTCAGCGGTTCTTTGCTTAGATTTGCTTGCATTTCCAATCTAATTTAAGCTAAAATTGCCTTCCACCCACTTTGAATATTTTTTCGATAACTTATCCATCTTCCTCTGGCATTTTCGCCATTTTTATAATAAGTTTACGGAAGAAATTCGGGATTTTCCTTTTAAAAAGCTTTGATTTATCTCAAAAAGAATGAAATCAACTCGCTTGATTTATCTTAACAAGAATGGGATCAACTTGCTTGCTCACTAACGTCACAAAGAACCTTTTGCTTATGCCACACATCCAGCAACGTTCTGTTTCTGATCAAGAGATTGGTTTAAAAGAAATTAAATTACGCGAAAAGTCGCACGAAGCGCACGATGAGACAAAATGTTCTGAGTTCGCAATTAATGACTCTACTAAATGGATATAGACACTCACTAAACAAAGTTAAACATTTTTTTTAAAACTCTACTGAAAGTTGAACTTTCTTTCCAAAACCCAAACGAAAACATCACCTGCTACATTTACAAATTGTTAGTATTGGACGCACACATCAAGCAACATATTAGTATTTACACAAAGTTGGGTGGTATGGGTGTGCCATACCAAGGCAAAGTCAACAGGGCAACTGTTGATGAATATTCCTTGGCTCTAATGGTACACCAAGTCGACTCGTAGGTGAATATCGGTTTGATAGACACCACCTTCTCCTGGGAGAAGGTCCTCCGCGTGGTACCTCCAGGAAACGTACTACGGTAAGGCCAATGCGAGCGGCACCTCCAGTGAATCCCTCACCTAATAATCCTCTGCCTCCCAATCCCTACCGAGACATGGGCAAGTCTTAAAACTACCTCCCCTCAAGTCAGGCGTGTAAAGCGACCCGTGCCCACTGACTATAAGGTTCGCAGCTGAGGGGTTAAACCAGCTGTGTTCGAACGGAGCCTTCCCAGGGCCGGGCAACCCTGGGTCGGAACGAGCCTTGCCGTGGCTTAGGGGCGAAGCCACGGTCGACCTTCCTTCAATGCCCCGAACCCCTCGGGCCCGCCGCGCTCGCCCTGTCGAGCAACGCGGGCGTTTATGAAAATGAATACAACTAAAAAATCCGCTTCGGACCTCGTGGGGGAGGTAAAACCCCACCACAAATCGACGGAAAGCGAACTCGACGAGGAGGAGCTACTGCGCTCAGACGACGAGACGCTAGCCCCGTCCAATACAGAGGGAGGTGTAAAGACAAGCACACCTCAAACGACACAACCAAAGCACACTAAAGCGGCGGCAAGCCAAGCCAAAGCGACCGGTGAACACGGGAAGACAAAACCGTGGACCCACCAACAACGAAAGGCGCAGGCAAGCAAGGCCCATTTCATCCTCGCCAAAATAGCGAGGAATGAAAAGGAGGGCAAAGCCAGATTTCTAGCAGTGATCGAGGAATACGAGCGCTACGAGAAGGAGCACCCAGAGACGTCTTTGCCTCCTCAAGCAAAGCGCAACCGCTCACAAGAGGTGAGTGAGAGCGCTCCAAAGAGGGCCAAGGACGCTAAGGGAGCACCGAGGCCGACCACGTTCGTCAAACCGGCGAAAAAGTTCAGCGAGGTGGCCAGAGACAGCCTCGCAATGGCACTTATAGACGAGCTCAACGACGATGGGCGCCTGCTGATGGAGAAATGGGAGGAGGTCGAGACCCAGTTGGCGGAGATGGTAACCGACAAATTACTGTCCGAGCCAACGGGCCAGTCACCCTCCTTTGACTCCTCAGACATGGTTAGGGGGCACCGGGTAATCAGGTGCGACGACGAGTTTTCGCGGGATTTCCTGGCGGATTTCGTTGCCAGTCTAAGCAAGGCATGGAAAGGGATTAGCATAAAGCTAGTCCCCGCCAAGGACATCCCAAGGAGACCCAGAGCTCGCATCTAGTTGCCCAAGGGGCTGTCTAGCCATGAAAGGGTGCTCAAGACTCTGCGAGCAATGAATAAAGGAGTCGACATGGAGGACTGTGCCATTCTCAGAGCTGAGCGAGAAATGAAGTCCAGTCAGCCATATCTGTTCTTAATCAACCAGCGCTGCCTAGAACAGCTGAAGGCAGCAGACAACAAGGTCCGGTACGGCATCAGGAAAGCCAAGGTGAAGGTCTTCCTAGACGAACCGGACGACATCCTGGAAGATGAAGTCGAGGACGCCAATAAGCTGCTGGACGATTTGGCGATCGACGACAGCACCCGATCTAATGCCGACGGTCGTTCAGATAAACCTGAAGCGCAGCTCCCACGCTTCAGCTAATCTGGGGGTCCTTCTCCGGGAGAAGGACATCGACATCGGCCTTATACAAGAGCCATGGACAAGGGACGGACGAATCTCTGGCATGGCCATAAAGGGATACACAACATTATACACAAACTCGACGGGTAGGCCGAGGGCGGGTATAATCATTATAAACAACCTTAATGCTCTTCTCTACCCCAATCTCAGCAACTTAGATCTAGCAGTGGCAAGATTCAAGGCGGCGGATGGGACAGCCATACTAATAACCTCCGGATACATGGCCCACGACGAACCTGCACCACCTGAAGCGGTTAATAGGGTGATGCAGTGGGCCGAGGAGACTAAGACGACGCTCATCCTCGGGTGCGATGCCAACGCAAGGCACGCACTGTGGGGAAGTAAGGAG